AAACGATATTGTCTTCAAAACATCTTAAACAGTTTAAATGCAGTTTCCTTTCAAATTATTTAACTTTGTACTCATGAATTTATCTGCCATGCGATGTCCATGTCGTTTATTGTCATAAAAATAGTCAATAGCATTGTAGAAAAGGAAGATTAATAATCGTGATATTATTCATTTCTCCCTCTCCCTCCCTCTCTCTCTCTCTTTCTCTCTCTCTCTCTCTCTCTCTCTCTCTTTCTGGAAATATAAACTAAATAAGGTTTAATCAGTGGCGTAGATCCAAAGGGAGAGGGGGCAAAAGGGCACGTTTATTTCTCCAATTTATTGAGAGAGAGAGAGAGAGAGAGGGGGGGGGAGGGGTCGCCGGTTGGTCCAGGTTCAATTTTAATTTTCTTCCAATTATTCAACTTTGTTCTCATGAATTTATCGTACATGCGATTGTCATGCGACGGGTAGTAAAAATAGTACAACAATATCGTTTATTGTCATCCAAATATTTCAAATAGCATTGAAACGACGATAAATAAGAAAAATAATACATCGTGGGTAATGGTGATAATATTTTTCTATCTCTCTCTCCGCTAAATCCCCCTAACACTGGAATTTACAAAGTAGAACCAACCGTGAAACGAATCATTGTCAGTCCTAGCTGAAAGAGTAAATTGCCACATCATGGTTGTATAAAGAGTAGGAATGGCGACTGATTGTTGCTTATATTCAGCAACCTTGCCTTTTCTCTAATGACCAGATAGATATATTTGCCAGAGGATGTGAATCATAGGGCGCATTATATGTTTGATCTATGAAATCCTGTTCAGTGATTTGTCAACATAGCATCATGTGACCAAACATAACATTGATATGATGTAACTGTGACGTCATCCATGGTATAGTGCACTATACCATAGCACTATACCATGGATGACGTCATATGCGGTCGATCAAGACCAATGTGCTATCGGTCGCGGTACTGTCGTCTGTGCTGCTCTCACCGCAGTCTACAATACTTCAGTGACAGTAAACATTATTATTATTAGTAGTAGTAGTATTAGTATTATTTTAATGAAGGTTGGTTTGAAAAATATATTTTAAAAAATGTCATGCACTATTTCAAGCCACTAGTGAAATTATGGATTCCTCGGCGACAGAAATAGCACTTTTTTCTTCGGAGTACGCCCCTCAAAAATTAGTGCTATTCCTGCCACCTCGATTCATAATTTCAACTAGAGCCTCTCAGTGCATGATATATTTGTTTACTTTCTTTAATCAATTAAACTGGGAGGTTATCGTGACCACAATCCATTTTTTAAATCAATTAGCTAAACTTTTCTTCTAATTTCTAACTGCAGTTATTGGCTACCAAAATAATAATTGCTCCATATTCTGCCCCCAATAAGCAACATAATTCGCTTTATTACATGTAACTAGCGTTTCCTTCTTCATCATTGATTCCGTTTTTTTATAAATCGGCCTATATAGTAAGACTGACTGCTAATAAGCTAGATAATGTGGTCAATTAGTGGCGTAGCTTCGTGGGGAGGGGTAGGGGTTAAGACGGCACGTCTATTTCTCCGATCGTATTGCCAGAGAAAGAGAGGGGGTGGGTATGGTCCGGAGTTCAAATTCAGTTTTCTTTCATAATTATTAAGCCTGGTACTGATTAACCTATCTGTCATGTGACTGCCATATTTGGCGGTTCCATATGAATAGTACCGCAATGTTTATTGTCATCAAAATATTCAAGTAGCATTGAAGAGACGATGAACAAATAAGAGAAATAACTCATCGTCGTTCACTTCTATATCATTCTCTGTCTGCTAAATCCTCTGAACAGTGGATTCAACTAAGCGGAATTAACTGTAACACGAATTGTTATGAGTCCTACCTGAAAGAGGAAATTGCCACGTCATAGTTGTAACAAATGGCGAACGATTGCTGCTTATTCAACAAGAAACGTTGTGTGCTCATTATTCTCCTCATATATCCCTGCTGGAAAGAACACACTCATTCACACTCATCCACAGTGTGAATTACACTGTGTTTCATACTGTGAATCACAGTGTGCTCCACAATGTTAAATTGGGCGCTTCACACTGTGCTCCACAATGTTAAATTGGGCGCTTCACACTGTGCTCCACAATGTTAAATTGGGCGCTTCACACTGTGCTCCACAATGTTAAATTGGGCGCTTCACACTGTGCTCCACAATGTTAAACTAGGCGCTTCACACTGTGCTCCACAATGTTAAATTGGGCTGTTTTCACAATGTGCTCCACAATATTAAATTGGGCGCTTCACACTGTGCTGCACAGTGTTAAATTGGGCCGTTTTCACACTGTGCTCCACAATGTTAAATTGGGCGCTTCACACTGTGTTCCACAATGTTAAATTGGGCCGTTTTCACACTGTGCTCCACAATGTTAAATTGGGCGCTTCACACTGTGCTCCACAATGTTAAATTGGGAGCTTCACATTGTGCTCCACAATGTTAAATTGGGCGCAGTGTGAAAACGCCCCAATTTAACCTTGTGGAGCACAGTGTGAAAACGCCCCAATTTAAAATTGTGGAGCGCTGTGTGAAAACGCCCCAATTTAATATTGTGGAGCGCAATGTGAAAACGGCCCAATTTAACAGTGTGGAGCACACTGTGAATCTATCGTTATTCACAATGTGAAAACGCCCCAATTTTACATTGTGGAGCACTCTGTGAATCTATCGTTATTCACAATGTGAAAACGCCCCAATTTAACATTGTGGAGCACACTGTGAATCTATCGTTATTCACAATGTGAAAACGCCCCAATTTATTATTGTGGAGCACACTATGATTCACAGTGTGATTTACACTGTGAAATTCACAATGTGACCACACTGTGAATCTATCGTTATTCACAATGTGAAAACGCCCCAATTTAACATTGTGAACATTCACACAGTGAAATGCCCACCACACTGTGAAACACCAAACACACTGTGAAACGCCCACAATGTTAATTTGGGGCGTTTTCACATTGTGACACATTATATTGTATGAAATTATCACACTGTGAAACGCCCACCACATTGTGATACAAGTTTAGTTTTTGAATTCTATGTGAAATATTTCAAATTATGAAAATGTAGTCATGTAGAGCTTAGTACGTATAAATACGAAGGAGAAAAGGTTTATAATCAATGTCTCACTTATAAACTCAACTTTAATAGAAAGATATCCCTGAAACATCTGAAACTAATACAGTAATCTAAATATATACATGTTAGAGCCTTTATGAGGTAACTTAAAATGTATTTCAAAAGCTTATATTTATTTTTCGCTAAAAGGACTTATGAACATACATCCTTTTAAGTATACAAAGATTGCAGTAATACTATACTTACAGATAAACAAATTTTACTCTGTGAATGCCAACATATTGTAAACCAGAATGAAAACAAAGACAAATGAATCCAAACAGTTTACATTAGATAGTAGAGATACTTCTTGCTATCTACAGTGAAATCTCATTATAATAAGCACATTGGTGTCCACTGAATTGACCTCTTTATATAAGATATCTCATTGTACTAGGGTTTAAAACAATGAATTACAGCAAAACATGGAATTGTGAAAAAACCTTGCCGTATCAGTTACCTCTTAATACACGTTATAGAGGTTCTACTGTATAACATTGAGGCATAAATTACATTGACGGCAAACAATTAGCACATATCATTAATATTTCCCTGAAAATGTATTTTAAAGGTGTTAAGACACTCGTAAAACATAATAAAAGCACATTAGCATGTTACAGCAGTATACAAAATAGTTTTAGAGCTTCTCTGGCAATATCTCTTAAACATTTGTGTAGGTATATTACATTTATGAACATACATTTTATGGCTAGTCACATTTTCCAAGTACAAAATATCCACACATGATATGTAACTTTGGCAATTGCAATGTATCAGAAAATCTTTGGCACATACAGGTTCTTCATAAACCTATTAAGATGATAACAAGTTTCAAAACATCTCTGTCAATACATCTTGAAAAAAGTTGAAAACATATCTAATTTAGGCAGACACGTTTTGCTTTTATGGCTACATAAATCTCTACAACTAATACTAATAAATACCTGAAGATGAGAAAAAATAGCTTTTGCTCATGTTTTTACAAATAAATAACCATACACTCTATATACGGTGGCACAAAAAAAAAGCAGAATGGCATACATAAATGTATGTACTTCCTAATGACTTCCTAGACTACATAAGTAACTTATGATTTTTTGTTTGTTCTAGCGACACTATACTGATGTTAGGATATTATAACTAGATGGAACTTCCGACTGTGTAGTCAAAAATAGTACCTCCACTATCATGCAATTTGTTAAAGCCCGAATTATCATTCCCCAGATCTTGAGATATCACTTCAGTCCACTGTATGGTGTATCACGTACGTCAGGTCTGGTGTCGCGAATATACAGTGCAAATTTAAAACTTTCTATAATATTCTATGTGCAGTTAAAAATTCTTCTTTCCCTTCTAACGGAGATGGACATTTTGTACCTCTTGCTTAAAAGGTAGCAAGTTCCAAAGCATGATGAAATCAGGGAGTCCTTGTAAATTGTATTTGGAATTGCTGGGTATGACCATGGTTGGATGTTAACACCGATAGAAGGTAGATTTTGAGAAACTCTGAGTGCAGGTTGACAGTCCCGTACACCATCACCATCTTAAACCATGCCCTGCGTTCTCGGAGAGATGGCCATTTGAGATGTTGCAGCATTGGTGCGATGCTGCTGGTATGATGGTAATGTCCAGTGACAAACCAGGCGTTGCGGAGCTGTACCATTTCCAGCATGTGTATGTTGTCCCGGGTGAGGATCCCACACTGTGCACGCATACTCCAGGATTGGGCGAACAAGAGCAAAGAAGAACAACGTTTTCGTCTCTCTTAGGCAAGGCCTAATGTTCCACTGCAAAAATGCACCGACAGAGCTGGCTTTATTTGTTGTTGTCCTTATGTGATCTGTCCAATTCAGGTTGCTCTTGAGGTGAACATCAAGATATTTAGCAGTTTCCAGTCTCAAGAAGTTGCCCTTGGATGCTGTATGACCATTTGACAGGCTTTCTCCTGCGTGCTACCCTGGTGTCCTTCAGTTTTTGGCCCATCTTCCTCTTATTTTCTGCTGAGGTCACTCCTAGCAATCTTCCCATAGCATATTCTATGATGAAGAAAAAATAAAAATAAATGAGAGAAATGTTACAACTTCTAATTTAACTGCTAGCATGAACTTGTAATCATTAACAATGATAGGTGATGAATACAAAATATGTAACAAATCTGCATATCCACCTACATTACCTGAAAAGAAATATCATAAAGTAAATGTTTTCCTAAATGACATTTTGCCCTCCCAGACATTACAAATTATTCGCTTTTGTGTTAACAAGATGCCACGTATAAAACTAACGTACATTGTAAACGGTTGTTAAAGATATGCTTGAGTAAAAGTATAGGTTCGTAAATCATAAATTTGCAAATAAACATGCTGTATAGCATCGAATATGAGAAAATATTGCTTAGATACCAGATTAAAGGTTATAGTTTCATATTTTGGTCTACATATAATTAGTCAAAGTCTGAAATCAACTGAATTTAAAAAGAAAACTTTAAAAACGACATACATTCAGCAATTTATTATGCTTTTTCTAATCAAAAGCAATTTCCCATTAGCATTGTTAGTACTGTGAGCCAAGGGGCACTGTCAGTATATTTTATAGTAAAATGCCTCACCAATGATGGCATCCACCTTGTCTTGGTCAAGCAACTGCTTCCCTTATTCTCCTCCTTTAATCTAAATGCTGAAACTATGCTGTCTGCCATCTCCTCATAGGTAAAGAGCATACCCATGAGTGCAAGAACAGCACATGACCAGGATTGCTTGTGTAGCTCCAGCATTCCCAGCTGCACTTGGGTCAAGTATGTCCGAACCTCATGTATGAAACTGTGGAACAGAAAAGAAATGTCAAGTATTACTGAAAAGTAGAGCACGTTTACAGATTTAAATAAAATAATCAGACATACGCAGCCTAAATTTGACATACTCGGTATGCCACACTTCGCAACCCTACGCAGATCGAGGGTGAAAGTTGTAGTACGACACAGTTCACAACCAAACACTATTCATACTACTCCTAGCTCAAGGAAACGCTAGAAAGACACATTTTCATACATTTTTGGACATTATTATTGAACATATGTCATTTCTAGTGAGCTAGGCCTATATTTTAGTTTTATGCTTTTTCGTCTGACTATTTTTTACCGACAGAAAACATGAAATAAATTGTAGCAAAATTTGTTTCTTACATGAATTTTTACATGACTCGGAATATGGGATCATTCTCTTTAGAATCTAGGGTTGATTTGGATCATTTGGTTCATATCTGGAAATCTGCACTTTTCTCGGCAGAGTTTTGTGATATAGGGTCTAGTCCAGAGCCTAAATGCCGGGGGGGGGGGGGGGAGGGGGTACTCACGTATATTGGGTACTCACGTATATTGGGTATACGGGGATGTGCCGCTCGAAAGGATGACTTTTTCAGGAAAGATCCTTAGACATGGGTCCCCTTTTCATAAAAAAAATCCTTAGACATGGGTCCTCTTTTTCATTTATTCCTTTCCCCTCTTTTCTCCCTCATTTTCTCCGGGATTTTAGGATTTGCTCCTAAATAATCGAGCCTACATTGTAAATGCCTAAATCTCTCCCATCTCTAAATAAATCCGGGGCTTAAACAATGCCGGTGAATCCTTCTGTGATTGCATTTCCAGTGTACGAGGTGTACGTAGCTCGTAAACTCAACTATAGACCCCGGGGTACCACATATATCAGGACCCCATGGGCCCTATATCGGGTACTTATATGGCATAATGCGCGCTAGGTATGGTATCCGCCCGTATAGGGTTCGTACCCCCGGGAACTTGTAGCGCTTCGCGTGCTGAAAATGATATGATCGGCAGATACCCTGCGTACCCTCTGCCCAGCAGCCGGGCAGCAGCTGGGCTCAAGCAGGGAGCTATATAGCCGATGCTTGAGAGCTCGTGTACGGGTACGTTAATTAAAACAGGAAAAGTCCTTCAATTAAAACAGATGCTAGAGGTGCCAGCGCAGTATAATAATGTTGCATGGCGTTTTCATCTTTAATATATGTAGCCTACTTGTAAAATACATGTAGTATGGTACAGTTTACTAATAAAGAATTTTATCGAGAAACTGCAAAATGATTGGCCATTGTATTATTACACACATAGGTACATTACTATCCTGGCTGTGTATTAAAAGCTGTGCTATTGATTCTCAACATTTTAAACACCACTGTACAAAACTCAACCAATTTCTCTCAAAATCGGTACTTAAGTGACGATTGATGACACCTAAATAACAGTAAGATACATTTTTTCAACTTTCTGATGTTAGAAGGAATAATTAAAAAAAATCAAATTGTGAGTCCACTGTCAAACTTGCCGATCAGCCGCATCGGCATAACTGTGTGCATCTGTGTGTTATGAATGTATTGACTATTAATGTATTTAAATGCTGCCTATTAACGCGTAGTGCAGTGCTAAAGGTCAATACGCATTAGCGTTAACTCTCTATATCAGGCCTTCTCAACTAGTTTATTAGAAGTGCCAAAACAAAAAGAATTTGTAGTTGAAGTGCCACCCTGTAAGGTCGACTGTGCTGCGAGGGAGCGTAGTGACCGAGCCGAAAATGGGTGGGGTCCAGGGGCGAAGCCCTAACAGGAGTAGCAGGGGCTAAGCCCCCTGAAGCTAGTAGATTTAGGGCTTTCTAAAGGCCCAAATGGGGAATTTTTAGCACCATTTCATTCCACAATATAATCACTCATAATTTCATATTGATGTGAAAAAATTAGTAAAATTCCTGAGTACAATTACACTGGAGGTATATTTATATGTAGTTTTTTGTGTGCAATAAACACGGGAAATGTCAAAATAAAGTGAAATTATACAAACAAAAACGAGAGGTTTCCAGATATTGGCAATGTTGAAATATCTCATCGTAAGCTAATTGTTGTTCAGACCTTTTAGATTCGTATAAAATGGTAAAAAACGATAAATTTCCCCTTTCTTCCTGTTTGTTAATAAAACAGGCATTTAGGGCTCGAATTCGACTGCAACTTCTTGATTTAGCTGAGTATTTAATTCTAAAATATATATTCTCTTTTTTCTGTTTTTTGTTTTGTTGTTGCAACAGTCGCGCGCCACTCCGACTAACCGCAAGCGCCACAAGTGGCGCGCGCGCCGCCAGTTGAGAAGGCCTGCTCTATATGCTTTGCTGGAGTGTATTATTACAGCTTAAAAAATGTAATATTTGAAATTTGAAATCCTTAGACATGGGTCCATTTTTCACAAAAAAATCCTTAGACATGGGTACCTATTTACAGCAAAAGGACCCTTGGATGTGGGTATGGGTTCGGAGGTCTCAGCCGCACACCCCCGTCCGACTATAATCTGAGTACCCCCCCCCCCCCCCCCCCCCGGGGCCTAAAATGGCCGATATACACTACTTAACAGTTTGTGTGTTTAACATGCTCAATTGTAATGTCCAAAAATGTTTGAAAAAGTGTCTTCCTAGCGTTCCCCTGAGTGAAGTACGTATAGCAAAGATGATACTCACCATTCAATGACAGCCACGCAGCAGCTCGGCAGCAGCCCGTCAGCACCCTCGCCTGGTAGCTATCCTAGCCGTTGGGAAACTTCACCATGCAGGCCATGTCCGCCATTCCAGTTATGTTCTCATCCGTCAACATGTCTTTGTAGTTGTACATATTCATCTTATATCACGGAAACTTGTTTGGCCTCGATCCAATACACGAGTATTCGATTTTTTCTTCAGTTGTTGTCATCTTATTTAAAACTATACCGGAACAAGACATATTACGAGCACAATCGAGGACCACATTCCTGCCACATTCTTGAAAACGAAGAGAGCTGCATGCACGCGCACGTGGTATCTATTGTACGCTATACGGGTAGAGTTCAGTGTATACGTACACAAAAGTATGCTACGCGTGGTTCGGTATGGCCTTTGAGCAAATACATATGCAAAACAAAACTGTTAATGATCAGGATTCACAATGTGGATGAGGAATTCATTATGTGTACTGTATTTATAACACTGACCACACTATGTAAATCTACTGTTTCACACTGTGAAATAGTTTTCAAAGAGCGGCCTCATTATGATACCGCTCACACTGTGAAATATTTGTCACAGCTAGAGTGGCCATACTGTGAAATTTGTACAGGGCGGCCACACTGTGAATTTTACTTTTCACACTATGAAATATTGTCCTCAGGGCGGCCACAATGTGAATTCTATTTTTCACACTGTGAAATATTTTTCACAGAGCGGCCACATTGTGTATTTTATAGTTCACACTGTGAAATATTTTCCAAAGGGCGGCCACACTGTGAATTCTATTTTTCACAATGTGAAGTATTTTTCACAGAGTGGCCACACTGTGAAATTTACTGTTCACACTGTGTAATGTATCTCGTAAGGTATTCACACTGTGAAAATCTATTTATCACAGTGTGAAATATTTTTCACAGTTTGGTCACACTGTGAAATCATTTTCACACTGTGAGCGGGTACATTCACACTGTGAAATCGAATTTCACAATGTGAATACTGTGTGGTTTACCACATTGTGACGGTGTCCACACTGTGAAAACACTCCGTTCACAGTGTGAACTGTGTGTTCACACTGTGTTCACAGTGTGAGCTACGTTTTCACACTGTGTTTCACACTGTGAATGAGTGTGAATGAGTGTGTTCTTTCCAGCAGGGTATACTATCAAACATAAAGCTAGACTTAAGAAATGACCGATGAAAGCTGATGTAACCTTGAAAACACCCAGAAAATATAGGTAAGGCGAGGCGTCAAAAATATCGATACCAGCAGGCTGCCGCCTCACGTATTGGCGCATCGAGGCTGCAATTACGGCCGAAGCCTGGCTGGGGCAATTATTTTTCTTTTATTAGCCCAGCCGGCTTGCGCCAGGCTGGGATCTGAGGCTCGGTTTCCATTCGAAAGGCGGCAGCCGGCACATGCTTTTGAACGCCATTTCCTACCGCCAGCGGTAGCCGGCTGAGCTAATTTAAAAAATGCAGCCAGGACGCACAAGTGCAGTTAGCTGCCGCTGGCTGGTATATTTATTTTTGACGCCTCGCCTAATAGGATGAATAATAATTTTTTTTTTTTTGTTAATCCTCCAGTACCAGATATAAAAGGACAACTCTATATATCTATCTATCTATCAGGCTTTAGTTCATCCAGACGTTGGACAAAGCCCTCCTCATAACATTTCCATTATCTTCAGGACAACTCTCGAAAGATGCAAATAAGGATCGATACTAGCAAAACAACTTTATTATAATTGTGTCTAAAGGGGGGTTGTTGTTAAATTGATAGGTATAAAGAAAGAGGTTGATTGCGAGAGAGAAAGAGAGAGAGAGAGAGAGAGAGAGAGATAGAGAGAGATTGAATGAGCCATGGCTGTAGTCGGAGAGAGAGAAAAAAAATGAATGAGTGAGTGTGTGAGAACGAGAGAGAGAGAGTGATCAAGTGATACTGTGTTTGAGTTAATGTGAGTGAGATAGAGAGGGGGGGGGGGGGGGGAGAGAGAGATTTACTTTATTACAATATTACGAAATTACAATATTAAGTGAATAAGAAAGAGAGAGAGATAGAGGGGGAGGGAGACCGACAGTGAGAAAGAGAATAGACGAAGGAGTGATAGAGACAGAGACAGAGAGAGAGAGAGAGAGATAGATTAACTGTCATTGTGTAGCAGCTATTATGTATGCCAAAAGCGAAAGAAATCGAAATATGCCATGTTTTGAAAAGTCATGAGAACGAGTGTCAATAACAAGATTTTATAACTACCTCACTACATTACACAAGGTAGATC